GCGAAGCTAAAACAAAAAGGGGTTAATCATCTACGGTCTAGGGGCCGACTAACCTCTCCCTTAGGCTTCGGCCGAGCTTCCTGATCAGTCACTGGATAGCGGTGTCGGGGCCGAAATCTCCGGCGTAGCCGTAAATGCTTCGCGCTGCCATACTGCGCTTCGGCACTCGATGTCTGGAGGTATGGTCCCAAATAAACATGAATCAAAATAACATGTAATTACCGGGTTATACCTGTGATAAACTGGTCATAAAATACCTCTTTCTTTCAATAATTTAAATTACAGATAGTAACGTAAACTTCAATAGTTACAGACCAGGTGGAGCCACTCTTGAGAAATCATTCTTTCATATATCAATATTTCGCTGAAAATTTTCATCATAAAGAACAATTCTTAGGAAATGTCACGTGGTCTGAAATAGGCAATTTGCATACGAGTTAAAGCGGTCTATTAAATTCTGCACGTTTTCAATTCAGGATGGGAGTTAAATGGAAAGAGAGCTACCATACTCGCCCGAACTCAATAGATGCATTACACGAATAAACTAAACTAACTAATAAAACAAAATCTTGTTTCTTGTCCCTGTTTTTTTTTTCGCCTGCTAGGAACTGGAAGCCATTAGAGAAGAGTACCATAAACGTATAGATTCTTTAATGCTATAGTTGAAACAACATAGAATCATGGAAGGGTTAGGTGTTACTATACACCGTTGATTCACATTATCCTTGACGTGCGCAGGAAGTTGTTTTGCACTTTTAATCGTCACACACAAGATATTCCCTTGAACTTTTATTTTTCTAATAAACGCTGAAGTAAATTTCCCGCGCAACACGATCACATGATTTATTGACATCACGCACGTGACTATTATGTGCAACCAAACTGCGCAATCATTGCATATTATCTCTCATTCAAAAGAGATCAAATGAACTGCCCAGTGATCACGTAATAGGAACCTCGTCGGATTTCGATCAATCTGTGGAGGATGATCTTAGAGGAGACGCAAGTGGTGACGTGGAAAAAATTCTTGTTGAGTTGAGCAAGGTAAGCAAGCCAACGGTTCAATGCGCATGCCGTGATTAATATGTTATGGGACGCAACAGTAGAGAAAAACGTTTGCGCATTCGTGCATTTCAGCACCTTTTCTAAGAATTTAGAAGAGTTTGAGTGAGAAAATAAATGTTTGTTTTCTCCGAGTATACAAAAAAATTCCGCGAGAATACTTTTGTAAGAGCAAGAAACTTACAATTGTACAACTATTTTTAAAACTATAATCTAGAGGTGTCCGTAATATAGTCGAGGTGTTCGTAATATAGAGGTGTCCGTAATATAGAGGTGTCTGTAATATAGAGGTGTCTGTAATATAGAGGTGTCTGTAATATAGAGGTGTCTGTAATATAGAGGTGTCTGTAATATAGAGGTGTCCGTAATATAGAGTTGTCTGTAATATAGAGGTGTCTGTAATATAGAGGTGTCCTTAATATAGAGGTGTCCGTAATATAGAGATGACTGTATATAGAGGTGTCCGTAATATAGAGGTATCGGTAATATAGAGGTTTCCATAAGATAGAGGTGTTTGTAATATAATAGTTGCCGTAATATAAAATGTCCGTAGAATAGAGATTGCCGTAACATAGAGGTGTCGTGCGTAATGAAGAGATGTCCGTAAGGAGAGTTTCCTTGAAAAGTTGTATACTTATAAATTTCCAATGCAAGAACAAACAAGAAGTAAACTTTACTTGGATTTATTATGATTGATTTTATCATTATTTCTGATACATTTATAGATACTAAAACGAGTAGATTTCGGATACATATTTCGTCTTTATTCATTGCTTGATTTTCGTGTCTTTCTGCTGCTGTATATCTTCTGAGGAGTAGAATGTAGCGATTGGTGGAAGCGCCAAGGCTCTCTTTTCCCCTAAGAGATTTTCTCTCCTTGGTGCCGGCTGACTCAAGGATTTTTGGATTGCTGGGAATTTCCTTGATGTGAAAGTTTTAAGCGAGGGTAGACTCTGTGAAGCTTGATTCCACGACATCTTGCTTACGTGAGAAAGAATCCTAAGGGTAATGACAAAAACGAAAGGAAAAAGTTCAAACTTAATTGAAACCCATCCCTTTCTATGGTCTAACGTTAAACTGAGCACCGTTATGAATATCCCTTGACGGGAAGCCCGATGAAAATACGCAGGACCGATAGAACCAGCCACCCCAAATTAAAATRTCTTTGACTTCTCAGCAGGTGACGCCAGGAAGGAAAAAAAACCATTGTTTTTCTTATGTTGTTAACCCAAGCATAAAACGATTTTCAATAATAAAGTAAGAGTTAAAATAAGACCAACATACAACAGATATGAAATGGCGGTTCTACGCCATCCGGAGCCCGGAGCCGGCGAAGCCAGGCTACCACCCCACCCCCACAATTTTCCGGAGCCGGTGGAGCCAGGTCCCAGGCCACCCCAATCCTCCCCCACGATTGTTACCGATTGCTTAAGAATGAATGTAGGAACAAAAGAGAGGGGGCTTCTTTTCTAAAATCCTTGTTGAATCACTATTCTGATGGGTTGATACTTATCGACCGGTATATATTGTTTTGGAAATATATAAATTCATAATTTCATTCAGTTCGCATGGGGTTGATCTACTGTTGAGTGTTTATTGCAATTTATTGCAATTTATCTTTTACAACGATACGGCGGTACACGTAGTAGCGATGAAACGCATCAATTAACTCTACAAGAATTAAGAATAGGCCGACTTTTTTATTTACTTATTTTTCCCCTCGTCAGAATGACAAAAACCCCAACCAGGGAATTGTGAGAAATGTATTACATGAACATAATATTAAAGAGCTCTTGTTCAAGTAAGATTTGAAGAAAAAAAATGTATTTTGAATTAATGAGGCTGTGAACTACTTTCAGAACAAGGTTTTGATTGCATCACCTTTCTTGGGTTGATAAGGTTTATTTTTTTTGTCAAATGTTCTTTGTTTAAACCAATCTCGTACCCAGAGCCCTTATTTCTTACTGCGCACGGTCGACGAAATAATTGGGCTCTGGAAAACTCCAATATTTCCTATGCTGTGATTGGTTCTCGAGAACAAAGGAAGATACCGAAAGTAAAAATTACAGTACTAGGGAAAATAAACAAGATGGCGTCTCGAATTAAGTACACCAAAAAAGCCTGTAGGGCCGGATTTTGCCGGTTTTGTAATGGTAATTGTGTTGATGTCCATTCAATAGATATTTTCGGAGTTAATTTAACTGAAAACCATCTTCAAAACCTAATTTTCCAAGCGCAAATTCACATGCTCGTTGAAGATCTTCCGCCATTTTGAATTTACCTAGTCTGTCATAATGCGCATGTGCGAGAAACCCAGAATCTGGGTCTTCCGGTTTGGAGTTTTCCAGAGCCCAATTATTTCGTCGAGCATGCGCAGTAAGAAATAAGGGCTCTGGGTACGAGATTGTGTTTAAACAGCGGGAAATAAAAGTTCCTTTCATGCCCCTTGATTGTTTTCAATGATGACGGTTTTTTAAAGTGCCCCTGGTGACCCTGGTGACCCTGCTGCCCCTAGTGCCCCTGTGAGCAGCGCATGAGTAAAATGGGCAGAACGAGAGGACATCTCTATAACTATTTAACTACATTTAATAAAGTTTCATTGCCAAAAAAACTTTTTGATTTTTCTTTGCTAGTTCACTGCCCTTCGACGTTTGGGACGCTGATGATATCGCAAATCTTCCTCTTCATCTGTCTCATCATTTTTAAGTGGTCGATAGACTGGTAACATACTGTTATGCGCTTTGACTGCAGCACTTTCTTCGCTTTCTCCTTCATGCAGGTAGCTTTCCATTTGACCCTCTAACTCTTCCTGATGACGATCTGTAGCTTCTCCTACGAGAGCCGACCAACTGTGCTTTACTGACGTATCATCGTCCTCTTCAGAATCACTAACTTTCGATTCACCGTCGTCCTCAGTTTTCTCACCAATACTTTGGTGCTCATCATATTCAACATCTGCCATTTTACAAGTTTGGTTGTCCAAATGGCGTCTTAAGTTATAAGACTCCGACAATAGCTGGGCTCCTTAGCCAATATGCGTTCGCGTGGGATGACCAGGAGGGGCCTGAGACCCACGCTCCGCCGGCTCCGAAAATTGTTGGGGGGGGGGAGGGGGGTAGCCTGGCTCCGCCGGCTCCGGGAAATCGTAGGGGAAGGGTGGTAGGCTGGCTCCGCAGTTCCGGGCTCCGGATGGCGTACCACCGCCATTTCATATCTACTGTCCTATAGTTCCGTCAGTTACGTTCGACAATTTTTTGTAGAAATAGGAATGCAACGTAACTGCTTCTACCGTGGCAAAGACATGGCCAATATATATATATTCATTACAAATAAAAATAAATAAAATTGGACACTTCTTGAAGGAATTGAATTTCTTTCATTGTGTTTAATGAAAAAGATTGACATGGAAAAAGGGACGTACATAAATATATATAGAGAGAGAGGTCGTAATTGCTTTTTAAGCGATAAATTAGTTAATTATATTCGCTTATTCAATGTACTTTATCTATAAGACATATCAAGCTCATAAGCTGCAGGATGGCAACGTGGAGAAAACGTCGGCGAAATTGAGGCGCTTTAACCTTCTATTGTATTATTTCGTCTTTACCTAGTATTTTACTCAATAAGCATCTCCGTTTTAGTGTGAAATGTCGTCTTTTGGGAACGCTTTACTTAAAACGACAATCAGCAAAGATAAGCTTTTGGCGTAGCCGTTCTCTTTAGTACGTAAAAATAGGACATTTCACGTCTTACTTTCAGCATAAGACGGCAATGTTGCATAGTATTTCGTACATTCCAACGAGTATCTATTTAATAGCGCAATTAGTCCTATTGTATGTTTGCCGACGTCGTCGTCGTTGCCGTCCTGCAGCTTAAGGTCCCTATTTATAGAGAGGACCGGAGGCAACTAATTCTACTCGATGTTTTTACACCGTGAGTGTTGGTCTGTACAGGAATGGACCCTATGGTCTCCTATGACTACAGAATCGTGATTATCAATTAGTAACTTGAAATAATCTTACAGTTTAATTAAGCTTGCTATACTATGCTCGTCTTTTTGTTTGTACTGCAAGGTGAATAATAAATAATCATTGATTAAATTGAGTGATCGAGCTAAAAGTTTTGCCATTAAATTTCCATGTTAGGAAGATTTGTTTACTCTACTTTCTCTATACGGTATCCAATTATGTAGGCAAATGTATTTGGAAGCAGACGACTGTTGCAGAAATATGGCAGCTTATAGAAAGCTATTTCAAAAAAGGTTGGCGTCCTCATTGCATTATGGGTGATGTGAATGCGATCAGCAAAAGGAAAACAAAACTTAGATTTCCGAAACTTTGTTTGTAGGTTTTCCGGCATAACTTCTAGTTCTTTGATGATATTATTTACATATGAATATAATGCATTTCTAGCTTAGTGAGAAAAATGTAAAATGCCTTATGCAATCTGAAACCCGGCTTCACAAACCTTTTTTGAAGTACCTATATAGGTCTGACGATTTCAATCACGATTGCCTATTTTCTATCTAGTAACCACTATCTTTATTCTTTTCTGTCGAGGATTCGCTTAAAGCTTTCAAAGAAGGATTTACTGTAGTATAAACGTTCTAAGTCATACTGGTCCTTGGTATGCTTGATTACATGTTCTGGTAACCTCTGTAGCTCTCGGCCTGTAGACATGGCAAGCGCCTGGAGAATACAACAGTGAATAAGAGGGATCAATGCATCATGTGGTAAACAAGGTTTGTCTGTTCACGGTGTGTGGTGCTTGGCTTTCTCTCCCCGTCCTCTCCCTCTTTCCTTTCCTTCCGCTTCCTTCTTTACATCTTTCCACATTTGTTTATTTCTATTTTTCCCATCTATTCTTTCCTCCATTCTCATTCTTTCTTTGATGTAGAACTCTTTTCAGAGCCTGCTGTCGCACCTATTTCAAAAAACCTTGTCGGTCGTAGATATGAAATCTGAAATCTGAAACTGATTAGTACGCTGCAAATTGTGATACTATAATTCACAGCCGAACAACGTAGTTTCGTCATCTAAGATTTCAATATGAAGCATGACGTTTGAATAAGAAATGTGATTTTTCGTATTTTAGTCACAAAACATAAAAACACAAAAATTCCGTTTAGTCTCAGTTCGCCCAACACTTCAGAACTCGGACCGACAACGTTTTATTTCTTAATATACGCAATTGTTTTCATTGGATCACCATGCAATATCCCAATATCCCACGGGTTCCGTATTTCCTCTATTCTTTCTATTATCTGCCTAGAGGCATTAGAAGAGGGGGCTCATATCATTGGAAATTTATAATTATTTTTATTTAAGAAAACTTGCTACTTATAAAATTTATCATAATCGAAATCTTGACCCAATACGACACAATGAACGGGTTGGGGGGGGCTTATTATAGAGACTTGGGGCTTAAAGGGCCACTTGGACGAAAATCGTTCCAAATTTAAAACTCTTTCATTCGAGCTGGAACTTTGCTGAAATAATCTTGAATACATTAAGAACCACCCACTGGAATATCTTTCTAATATTCGAAAGGAAAGGGCCAAAATTTTACGATTTATTTTCGTCCGCCATTAATTTCTTTGACTCACA